GAGATTAGCGGTCGCAGCGAGTCCTAGAAGCAGGAAGGGGGCGGGGCTTAAAGTGACCGGCGACAGGCTCGACGCTGTTTGAATTAACCACTGGATCATCCGTTTGGTGCTCTCTCCGCGAGAGAGCATTGGGTACGTAACATACATCGCCTTTGAAAGTATGCTCAAAATTCAATATTTCTGGAGAACGCTTATCCAGTTGGCATTCCGAAATTGAATGTCGTTCATTCTACCCAGATAGGTGATTGACTTGCTGATAACGGAAATTGTATTCATTCTCGATCAATATTACCTTTTTGGGTCAAATTTCACCTTTCCTATACTCAACTTCCCCTAAGAAGTCTAATTTCCGCCTGGAAACAACTTGTAGTCATGGTAAGATTTAGAAGATTGTATATGATAGATGGTACTTGTTTGAATATTATTATTACGGATTAGGTTGCTATATAATCTCCCGACATGCTTTCCAACGCTCATTTCTCAGCAGTTTTATTTCAGTTGGCTGGATGTTATGAAATAAAATCTATTTCCTTTCCTTACAGAGCTTTCTTTATGCTCAAACATTCGGCTTCATTTCTTAACTCTTCATATCTAATTTTTTCTTCCTCTAATCTAACCAATTTATTATTTGATACTATCACACAAGAAAACCCAAAAAACGTTTAGCAGTTATTGAGAGACACTCCATCAAAGGACACCTTGCCTGTGGGTGGATTTTTTCCGATAAAACTTGATCCTTCAGAGCAAGGTCTGTAGAATACAGAGACCACTGAACCCCCTCCAAAGGACCCCAAACTCGGGTGCATTGACGGTTGGTGAATAGCAGTACTAGGGCACAGCATATTATCGTCTAGAACAGCTATGCTGTCGCGTAATTTTCAAATTTTTGATAACCCAAATATTAGCAAGTAAGATGTTTCCTCTCGACCAAATAATCCATTCTTCAGCTTAAAAGTCCGAATAAAAAACCCTTGGAGAAACGGGTGGATTTTCAAGGCGGGGAATAGGTTTTGAAAATTTTTAGCATTTGGTTATAAACTAGAAAAAGTGCATAAAATTCACTTTTAAAATAACAAAGAAATTCGAACAGTTCCTAGCCCTTTTCCCTTCCTCAGCCCCTCCCGCCCCCCCGCCGCATTCTTGTCAAGAGGATACTTTCTGCCCATTTTAGTAGCGAACATATTTAGTCTTTTCCTTCCTGTTGACGTCTACACGACAATAAATATAAGTTGATTCCATAACCATTGAATTAGCGAGATGGTATACTTCAAGCAGCTTACCGATCCTCCGCAAATATTATTCCCTTGACCAACTTGATCAATGGTAAATGTCGGGACTTACAGCCAGTATTTTGCTGGCACCAAGGAAGCGCTCAAAGAAAGCCACACCTTCACATTCTGGCGATTTTCTAGCGAACTCAACCTTCAAACTCTTGAGCGTACAACAAACACGATGTTTTTGACACTTGCCGTACCAAAGTCATGTAAGCACCAATCAGAAAAGGTCATGCAGTATTTCCACTCTAAATTTCCACTTTAACAAAAATGCTTATACGTATATTATGTGAGCTTGGACTTCACATGCTGCAATGGCTGCAAACATCCGATAAACCCTTCGTGAGTCATGTTAGTTCCTCTCCGAAGCGACGTCATTATGCATGCGTCAATCGTTGCGCATCGGATTGCGTGACGGGAGATAGGCTGCGTGCTGACAACCGCCCGACGAGTCAGTCGTTCGCATTCCCTTCGCGTGTCGGTCCGATCGATGGCGTGCGTCAGCGCTGCGTAATTATAACACGAAGTGTTTCTGCCTTTGCACGTCCCGTTTGTCACACACTCGCTGTTACTATCTTTTGCCTGCTTCTGGTGCAGTAAGATATATCTAGCCCTCAAAAGGAAGCCCACCTCTGAAGCTAAGCTAACATCTTCTGGGAATGCCAAAATTCAGCGACGATATCTGCT